GATTTAAGGTCTCATCTACATAACGTTTCTGCTAAAGCATTTGAGCTGTGTCTCAGTAAATAAGTAAGACTGGTAGCCAGGTCTGGTGGCACATGCCTTCATCTCAGCAAACGGGAAGCAGGGGCAGGTGGATCTTTGAATTCTAGGCCAGCCTGGTCTACAAAATGATGTCCAGGACAGCCAGGCCTGTTACACAGAGAAGTTTTGTCTCAAAAATCAAACAAACAAAAAAAAAAAAAAATGAGTAAAACTGGTGTAACCTTAGACAGTGCTAATAAGGATGTTTTTTTTCCTACTACTACAGAGGCTTTGTATCTTTAGGTAGCTTAAAATAAGGGCCACGTCCAATCTTGCACTGGTGTGAAGACAGATTTCATGTCAAGAAACAAACATCGGCCAAGTACCATGTATGGAGAGGACCTTGGTCTCTTGCTCAGATGTAGCCCATAGGATCTAAACCCAGTAACACAGCACCCTTCCTGTCCCTTCAGAAATGGGTGTAAATTCATGCAAACATATTTGCTTTTGGTTGGGTGGCTTGTCTGGGCATGCACTGGCAGGGTAAAGGACATCAGTGTCATGACAGAGAGACAAGCTGACATCTGCAGTTCAGAACATCTCCCATTTGAGAGCATGTGCTCAGGAACCACATCTTGCAATCCTGACACCTAGGAGCCAATGAGCCTCCGGTTCCTTCACAGCTCAGTATGTGTGCCAGTTTTAGAAGCATTATAGGCAATTAGGAGGATTCATAGACCGTCCTCATGAGAATGTGTGGCTCACAGTAGCTGTTCTTGATATATGAATAAGAGAGAAGATAAAGGGAACACTTACACTGTTAAATTAAACTATTTCATGTGTATTAAATGGTGATGACACACTATTCAGAGTTTTAACAACTCATCTGTGCTGTTTTGCACCCAGTGTGCACATTTTCCCAAAGAATATGTATTTTTCCTTATCCTCACAAGTTGAAGTGTTATCTTCTTGATTCTGGCTGGTCGAACCTGGGTACTCACAGCCTCCTTTCAAGCTTATGAAAATTGGCAAGTCACTGGCCCCCTTTGGTGTCAGGAGCTGGCACTGCCAACACATCTTCCGAATGTGATCCTCAGGCCTTGGCATCAAAGGCACAGTCTCTTGTTTTAATTAAGCTGAGGTGCATTCCTACACGTGACAGCTGCAAAAATGTATTTTCCTTCCAACTGAATGTGTGATTACTTAGCATTGCACGGACTTCATTTCAAGTACATTTTTGTGGCTCTTTTCCCTCTCCTGTACCCTGGTGGTTCCAGGAGAGAGCATATGGCTCAGTAATTCCTTAAAGCTCATTTTATGGGCCATTTTCGGGCACTTCCTGCTGGCCTTTGGAATAGAGCCTTGTTTCTCACTGCATTTTTTTGCTTATGTTTCTGCCAAAAGCTTCCACAAAAATTTTTAAAAAGTAAAATAAAATTAAAAAAATAAAGCAATAAAACCACAGGGCCCTATAAGCTATGGTCATCAGAATAGCTTAATGAAAGCAACTTCAACAATTGAGGTCTATAACACCAACCAGTAATGTAGGATTTAAACCTTGAACACAAGGACAGCCTATGCAGGTCACCTTTGTGGTTTATGGGAATAGCTCAAAATGTTATACAATTTGAGAAGATCTCAGTGAACAATCTCACAGTGAGCTATTTTTTTTTTTCTTTTAAAGAAAAAAATTGATAAGGTAAAAATAGAAATTGGTGGTTTTCTCTGACCTCTTCTTGGAGAGAGATAAATCTAAGCTTTTTAAAGGTATTACATAGCTAAGAAAATATTTGTTGGATGTTCATATGTCTACATAAATTCATTGGCTCTTGCCTCAAATTTTATCCCAACTAAATTGTGATATTTTCTTTTAGCTGAAATACAGACTGAGTTCAGAAAAAAGATATCTTCTTGAAAGGAGGCACCTTGTATGAACACAGCAAAGTTATATCTTGAGTATGATCTATGTGATATTAAACAGCTTTAATATCTGAATTATGAATTAACACCTATGAACTAGTCACATTTTGCAACAGCTGTGTTTTGATTGCAAACCAGGATTTGTGTGACTTTTGAGAGAAGGAGATTTCCTTCCCAGCAGCTAGTAGGAACCAATTGTAATTGCAAGGTTGCCAGAGAAATTAAGCCACCAGTAGATGGCTTTACCTGGAAGTGAAAAAATAATGGTTAAGGTACCAAGGGAATTATCAACACTGTTATAATGACTTCTGATTAACCCTGAAAATGTGAAGCATGTTTCTAGGAATAAGGGGATGACAATGTGACACCAGGTATATTCAATCCAAAGCTTCCTAATATCATACCACCCCATTACTGAGAACCACCGGTTCTCATTACTCACCTTGACAGTATTTTTCTTTCAGTGACCAGTAACAAGAAACAATAATTTAATGATCCAGGCAAGTATAATAGTAAAGGAGGATAAAAATACTCTTAGATTGTAAATTGCCTCTCGGGCTTACAAGAAAGAGAAACAACAAGGTCTATCTATTGACTTTTAGTCTTGAAATATTGTTAGAGGGTGGTTATTTAAAGTGATGGCAGAGCTAAGTTATAAAGAAATCACAGGTTAAGCCAGAAGCTTTTTTTATTCAGTGATGGAGATTGAACCCAGTACTTTTGCATTGTCAGTGAAGTGTTTACCACTGATTTGTGACCCAAACCATACTATTTCATGTTGATGGCATCAAAATACATTCAGCCACTTTTTTCTCCATAGCCAAAGAGGAAGTGATTAATGATTATTATGAACTGCTTTATAATACTCCATAAGATACATGCACAGCATGCCAGATTCTCAGCTAGCATACAGCTAAGGAACATTGCCCAAGGGCAAATGGAGAAAGGAGTGCAATTACAGAACTCTACATATGCACATGTATTTATGTGGCCCTACTTTAGAGTCCAAGCCATGTCCCCAAAGCCAAGTGACTTTTCCCTCCCACGCTAGCATCAACTAGCACTACCTCCCACACCTGTGGTGGAACTTTGGCAAGGCTGATCTTGTGTGGGTAAGCACGATGCTGCGACTTGGTATGTAACTGGCACCTTATATCGAGAAGTCTTCATGTTCCAGCTATCCTCCACCTCTCTTCCACAACGTTCCCTGAGCATGCATGGGAGGGTTGGTATAGGACCACCCACAGCTGAGTGTTTAGAGTCATATATACTTGGTATTTAGACAAGATATGAGTTTCTCCATTAATCACTACCCATTACCAAAGGAGCATCTTTGAGTAAAGTTGAGAGAAGCAAAAGTTTATGGTATAAACAAATATTTACAAGTCAGGTTGACAGCATGACGATTTAGAAAAAAAAAAAAGTTTCTCCCTTAAGGTTTATGATTTTCTCAGTCTTGGGTTTTGACCAGAGTTATATAGTACCTGATTTGAAATGTCCCCTGTGGATCAGGCTTCATATTTAATTGGAAAACAATTAGTTATTCCACAATAGCCATGCCACTATTGTACCAATCAGTACATTTTGCCAGGGTGGTCAGTATTGTAACATGTAGAGTCTAAGGCTGGGTAGGACCACTGGGATCTTTTGTCCTTCAGCTGTTTTCATAGTTCCCCATTGCACTAAGTAAGCCACCCAGGAAGGATAATAGTTTCCTGGTCAGGCCAAGGTTGATTTCTCTATGCTCTGTAACCAAACTGAGTTGTGTCTTCAACAATAGGTTCTTACCATATAATTTTGGTAGACATCCAAGACCAATGGTAACAACTTGTTACACATTCTCCCAAATATCCTGATAACAGTATATCTTTTGTGTTGCAAAAAGTGGCTTCCATTTTATTGGCATGTTAAGAGTTTGGAAGTTTAGTTCAAAGGAATGATGAATGATTGTAGAGATGCAGTCTTAAATACAGAGGCTATGTTTTTGTTTGTTTGTTTTATTTTGTAAATGTTTTTCTGTTTGGTATATGGGCCAACAAAGAATTCTGGAGACTGAATCACCTATTAAGAGAAACACAATTGACTCCAAACTTGCCACTACAGAAGAAGGGAGAACAGTTCCTCAGAGACAACAGATGCTGTTTCAACATGGTGGTCACACATGTTAGCAATGCACTTTATTTTTCTATAAGTCTTCTGGTTTTCCTATTAGATGCTCAGCAGAATAACAGTGTCAGCCCTTTGGGATTCTCTGTTATCTTTAAATAAATACCTTCTGAGTTAAACAACATTCCTGTTCTTTAAAAGGTGGTCAGTTCACTGAATGAATAAATAGATGAATGGGTGGATGAATGAATGAATGCATGAAAGAATGAATGAATACATGAATGAATTTCTCCAATTAAAACATTGATGTATAGAGGGCATTAAGCAGTTGCTCATTCCTGGAGGCTGTCTGACTTTTTCCAGGAATACTGAAAGATTTAAATTTTAACTAGATGGCTTATGAAGACTTCATCTGTCTCTGAAATTCTAGGGTTCCTTGATATAGGAAATCACAACATCTCAAGTAAGATGAAGAGTTAGTTTTGTGAAGGGATGAAGAGAAAAATACAGAAGGTATTTTCTGACTCACTAGTCCTGTCAATGGCAGGTTTGTGCCAATATATTGTAAATCTGAGTCATTGTCTAAACATCGAGGGGCAGCTGATAATCTAAGAAGTTAGACTTCAGCATATTGGCTGCATACCCTTTTAAACACACTTCACCTGGACATGGAAAATAGGTAACAGGTTTAAAGGACCACCTCCTGAGTTACAAGCTGTCTGAGAGAATAAAAGTAAACAAAGAGTGAGTAGTTTTAACAAATGTATATTTCAGGAACCCTATTTGAATTACATCAGAAAGGACGATAGGAAGAAATGTAAGATTTGATCAGTCAGTTATTAGTATTCGTTACTCATAACAATTAAAACAAGTTTTTTTTTTTAAAGATGTTCACATTCTTCTAGATTTCTCCAGTAAAGTAAAGCATTCTAAACCTGCTTTCTTTGTTTTCCAAGATATCGAAGACTTTGAAACCAAAACCAGAAGCACAGTGTCCGTCCGAGAAGGTCAAGGTGTGGTGCTCCTCTGTGGCCCACCACCACATTTTGGAGGTAGGTTGTAGGTAGTTTGTGTCTGCCAGTCCATGGGCTCCATAAGAAGATGAAGGAGGCACACGGGGTTCTGGAACCACTGGCATACCACCACTCATTCATAGGGATTACAGAAGCTCTGGGAAGTTCATCAGCCACATAGACAGACAGTCCTGTTTTTATTTAAAATTATATTTTCACTTAGCTACTTAGAACAAATATGACCATGAGAAGATGATGCTAAGTGTTGGGGTTGGGACTTTATATGAAATTGTTGTCCTGCTGCGACCCACGGCTCATGATGCTCTCTAAGGCAGTTAACTCTCTTTAAGGCTCAGCTTCCTCATATGAGAACTAGGCAAACATTACTAACAGTGGTAAATATCTAAACTGTATTTATATAATTTATGTATTTATATAATGACCAGTATGTTTATTAAAAATAAAAGCTAAAATGATCATATTATTTTACTTTTGGCCTCTATGTAGAGGCAAACTACAAAACTCTCCTTGGGCTTCTAACATTAACTATTGTAAAAGAGAAGTGCTCCATGCAGTCAGTCTAACTCCAATGCCCTCATAGAAGCCACTGCTCTCTCTCTCTCTACTTATATTAACATTCATTACAGAATTGGCAAAAGTTTGAAAAGAGGTAAGACAGATGTTTTTAGACAAATACAAACTTGTATTCCTAATGCTAAGCTACATCTCATTCATAAGTCTTTAAAACTTTCTCTTGTTATTTTCATTTTATACAATCTGTGATGTTTTGGCCCAAAAAGCCAAATACCCTAAGTAGAAGCTAACAATATATTTTTCCACACTACTAAAAAACGTGGTTCTATGCACACTTGCAGTGTTAGAGAAGACTCACCATATACACAGTGCTGTCTCAGCAGAAAGTTATGTTTTTGTATATAACACAAAGATAGCTTAGGCTTTTTGATAGTGTCTGTTCTAACTTATAGAAAATTTCTCTTCTAGTACCAAAATTTGAGGCTCAAAATTAAGAAAGCACTAGGTCATTTGGTCCTTTGACCACATTCAAAGATTCCTGATGGTGTTGTAAACTTTTTTATACCTTGGTTTGATCATAGATGATAGAAATGTAAAACAATTGCAAGCAAACTGGTTATACACGTGCAATGCAAATCTGAACAGCAGCCGAGCAAGAAGTTTGTTTTCTTGTTGGTCACCTACCAATGAGAATCACAGTCAGGTCATGAGTTCTATGAAACTAAGTTAGTGGAGATTACAAAATACATTAAAGTAAGAACTTTGTAAGGAAGAAAGCTCTTGAATGAGAGTAAAGAAAAAAATGCCTAATTCCATGAAGAATCATTTGCATTCACCAAGAGTGACTTCATCGCTTTGAGTACAGACGTGTTGGTTTAATGTCCTTTTGTTCTTTGTTGTAGATCATAACACATCTTTGTGTCCTTTTATGTCTCTAACTACACCTTTCCTCACTGCCATATTTTCATTGAAAGCTTTTTTTATTCCTTTGAATAGATTTATTCCTAAGTGTATGCTGTTCATTTGTTTAAGATTTTTCCCACTGGAATTATTTTCTCTATTTCTTACTTATAAGAAAGCTATTAGATTTGTATGTTGCATTCTGCTACTTTGCCCAATTTGTTTATCAGTGCTAGTAGTCTCTAGGAATCTCTAGGGTTTCATAAATATAGAATCATACAATCTGCAAAGAAGAATAATTTGACATTATCCTTACTAATATTCATCCATTTTTATTCATTTCTCCTGCCTAATTGCCTTAGCTGGCGTTTCATGCTGTACTGGCTATTGTGGTGGTTATCTTTATAATGTTACTGGTTCTAGAGGAGAAAATGTTTCAATATTCTTCACTAATCACGATATTAGCTAGGGATTTGTTACCTGTAGGTTTGTCAGTTATGGTGAGCTGTGATACTTCTATCTAGAATGTCTTCAAATGTTATAAAATATTTATCTTTTTTATTTGGGTGTATGGTGAATGTTTGTGTATTTTCATGGCCCAAATTATTTCCTATTTTTATGTGCTGAGATCAACATTACCTCCCTTAAAAAATAAATTATAGACTTCATAGCGACATCGGATAAAAAAAGGCTGATGCTTTTTAGAAGAAATTGTATGTCCTTCTTGTCCACACACAGCTATCACAGTGAACACAGGGAGAACTTCTACATCAACAGAGAAGTCATAATGTTTGATATTACTAGCATATTTCTGAATGTGTTAGATTGTTCATCTTGTATGTTCACAGCAATATATTCAAAACATTCTTTAATAATAAAAGCCTGTGAAACATACTTCGAGAAGTTTCATAAAGAGGCATTCTAGGAACACACATAAAAAAATAAACTAACATATTTAAATTCTTTAAGTTGGTCTGGAAAAGAAGGTCTATGCACCTAAAAGTAAGACATAAAGATGAGTTCACGGCTTTTCCATGTAAATGCTTATTAGTAACATATCATCATAACAATGTAAGTATTGTAGAACACAGACATTCAAGCAAAACAACTACAATTCTCATTGGATATGTTGTGCCTGCTTGCCACAGATCAAGGCTGGACCATTGGCATTACCTCATAAAAGGAGGGGCTTAGGATGGTCACTAGATCTTCATCTTAGATTCCGTTTACCATGCCCAAACATTTACATGCAACTTTGCCTTCATTGCACATGGCCTGGGATGGAGTTATATTCATAGATACCTATTATAATCTGGAACGGTTAATGAAAAGGGGAATCCATTTACAAAGCTGTGCAGAAGACATCATCTACATTTGGTACAAACCCACCTCTGCTACTGCTTTGATATCACTATTGCTCCTGCCAATAATCTCTTACCCACATTCTGTGAGTATGCACAATAAACCCATTGGTTTCACCATGGGAATTTTGGTGGTTTAGTACTTCTGTTTATCTTTGAGACCTTATGTGGGCAGAGTAGACAGTGTTTAGGATTCCCCATGAGAATTTTTTTTTCTTCCTGTAGTATTATACCATTACAAAACAACATAAGAGCATAAGAAATTAACCTGGTATAAAAACATAATCTAATGTAACATAACAGCAATGGAACACAAAATGTCATAGCTCCAGCTGAACAGATACAATTAAAACAATTTTGTTTGCCTTTTGAGTGAATAAAAGAAAGCTAATTCCTAGCATCGATGTTTTGTGAATGCTTTTTACTGAAATTTAACTGCAACCAAAAATATAGTCAGGTTACCCTTCTGGAAGAAAGGAGGAGGATTTTAAATGGTTTGAAATTTTTTCTATCAGAGAATGGACCTGAGAAATGGAAGAGCAGCCCATATGCTTATACTGAAATCAACCACAGTATAGGCTTTAACTTCAATATATAATATATTAATGTCGGAAATAATTCTTTGTATTCTGTATCACTTAATTCTATAATAGCTGTATCATTAACCTTCTTGTCTCTAAAATATATACATAAGATAAGCCATATTTAAAGAAAAAGATCATATTTAGGATCATAGCTTTTAGATTGACTTTCAGTCCTTGATGAAATTGTCAGGGAACATGTGGCATAATAAATTGCTCCTTCATGTCAAGAATATAAAGAGAGAAAAAAAAAGGAAGCATATAAGATCAGACTTTCTACTTTGAGGCCATGACTCCAATAACCTAAAGACCTTTCACTGAGCTCTATCACTAAAAGGTCTACTACTTTCCCGTACCACCACTACATACTTTTAGCTTTATGGGATTTTAGGGGCATTTAATATCTATATCTATATCTATATCTATATCTATATCTATATCTATATCTATATCTATATCTATATCTATATCTATATCTATATCTATATATATATATATATATATATATATGATTTTGAGTTCCATATCCATTAGATTCTTCCCCTGTTCTCATAATTCTCAGTACTCTGACAACAAAATAACAAAAACAAAAACAAAAAAATAACAAAAACAATAACAAATAACAATAACATAGACTGGAGATATGGGCCAGCAGTTAAGAGTACTGGCTGTTTTTCTAGATATGGGTCCCATTCCCAGCACCCAATGACAGTTCAACTATTTTCAATATTCTCCAAGTTTTGGAAACACAAGAAAACTCTTTAAGGCAAAGCACAAATTGATCTTGAAAGCTACCAGGGAACGGCCCCTGAGATGCCTAGGCGGGTGGAAGGGAGAGCTCTTACCTTTACCAATTTGTCTCTTGACCTCCACATGAACAGAATGACAGATTGTCTTGTTGTGGCATGTATGTATATTCTCTCTCTCTCTCTGTATATAATATATGCATATATATGTGTATATAATATATACATATATATCTAAATATGTAAATATGTTATTTTAAAGTACAAGTCAGTACATTTATATAAATTCATCATATAAAAATTTGTTTTTAAATGATAATAAAGAAATAATATGTTTAAAATAATCACCTTTGAAATAAGATAGTATTTTTCACCATTGCCAGAGGAGAATCTGCTCTTTAGCTTCGGGAACATAAATTCTCAAACCTACCCTCATAAAATGTATGAGTTTCCAGCTTGTTTTAATTTTCCCAGGTACATCTTTTAGTCTGATAGAACCGTTGACTCTGTCCCAGTGGTTCCGATCAACTGTGCCTGTAGGAGGAAGATAGCAATGTTGTGTGAGCCTAGTGTTGGTATTCACATCATAAAGATGTTGACAATTTAACTTAAATGGAAAAATCACTCCAAGAACGGGCTCAATATTTTGTTGTTAAAAAAAGAGAGAGAAAGAGAGAAGAAAATTATACTGAGAGAAGTGGCAAATTTTGTATCCCTTCCTTTCTAAATGATACGTCTTCTGTCTCTGGAGCAAATAAAAGCAATGTTGTCTTATTAGGTAGGATAAGTGCATATGTCACTCTTGTCAAGGTTGGTAAGCACACCTGGAAACCTAGCACTAGAGAGGCAATGAAGGGAGTATCATGAGTTGATGATGCCTTGTTACATAGTGACTCCCAAGTCCAGCCCATGTTGCA